CTATGCCCGGCCTATGCTAAGTGTTAATGAAGGAAATAAAAAGGGAGATATGTTGGAGTTGGCCCACTTTAGACAGGTGGGGGAAATGTGGCCTCTCTGAGAAGCTGACATTAAAACTGAGATCAAAAAAAGAAAAGAAGTCAGCTACTAAAAAATCTGGGACAAGAGAATTCCAGGCAACAGTAAAGGCCTTGGGATGTGAAAATTATCTGACATATTCCAAGAACTAAGAGTAGGCCATGGTGACTGTAGCATCACCAGAAAGGAGAAGCAGAAAATGAGATAGGCCATGTGAAGATAGGTGGATTTCTTTCCTTTTTAAAATGTCTTTTAAAAAATTATTAATTGTAGGCCAGATGTGGTGGCTCACGCCTGTAATTCCAGCACTTTGGGAGGCTGAGGTGGGTGGATCACTTGAGGTCAGGAGTTTGAAACCAGCCTGGCCAACATGGTGAAATCCTGTCTTTACTAAAATTACAAAAATTAGCCATGCATTGGTGGCAGACACCTGTAAAGCCAGCTACTCGGGAGGCTGAGGCAGGAGAATCGCTTGAATCCAGGAGGTGGAGCTTGCAGTGAGCTCAGATCACACTAGCCTGGGCGACAGAGTGAGACTCCATCTCAAAAAAAAAGAAAAGAAAAGAGAAACATTGTTTATTGTAGTAAAATACATGTAACAAAATTTACTATCTTAACCAATTTTAAGTGTATGGTTCAGTGTTATTAAATACAAACCATCCACAGATTAGGAGAAAATATTTGGAATATATAAAGACCAAAAATTACAATTTGTTTTGCTAGGCTTAGATATTCATACCCTATGTTATTTAAGGCAAATTGAAATTTCGTACTGGATTTTGTATTTGTTTCTTAGATTTCTAGTTTTTAAAGGAGAGATTGGCCAGGAGCTGTGGTTGATGCCTGTAATCCCAGCACTTTGGGAAGCCAAGGCAAGAGGATCGCTTGAGGCCAGGAGTTGGAGACTAGCCTGGCCACTCTCTTGTCTGTATCCCTTGATGCACACAATTTTTTAATTTGATGAAGTACAATTTATTTTTCCTTTTGTTGCCTGTGCTTTCGGTGTTATAGCCAAAAAATCACTGCCAGATCCAGTGTCATGAAGATTGTCCCCTATGTTTTCTTCTAGAATTTTATAGTTTTAACTCCTAAATTTAGGTCTTTGATTCATTTTGAGTTAATTTTTTTATATAATATCAGATAAAGGTCCAACTTATTTTATTTTATTTTTTTGCATTGGATATCCAGTTTTCCCAGCACCATTTGTTGGAAAGTTTGTCCTTTCCACACAGATGGTATTGGCACCCATGCCAAAAATTAATTGACCATACACACAAGTGAATATTTTAAGAGTACAATGGGAAATGATGGACACTAGTAATCAAGGCTTCTAGGCAACTCTGAGTCTCTAGATTAACTTTCTTAAGCCCTTTTGGAGATGACAGACTCGAAAGGGAAAAGGGAGTTCTAAATTCCAAAAATCTCTTTACTAAGAGCAAAACATAAAGTAGTGAACATTAAACTTTGCATTTTTCCAACAAGAAACTATAGGAAAAAAAAGTTTTGCATAGGAAGAGGAAATTCGAGAAATGAACTCAAAGAAGAGAGGAAGTCAAGGAGGTCTTCGATAGAGATGAAGAAATACAAAGGCTTCAACAGAAAGAGAGAGGAAGAGGAAGAAGAGAAGGAAGAGGAGGAGGAGGAAGAAGAGGAGAAGGAAGAAGAGGAGAAGGAAGAAGAGGAGGAGGAAGTGGAGGAGGAGGAAGAAGAGAGGGAGGAAGAACAAGAGGAGGAGGAAGAAGAGGAGGAGAAAAGGAAGAAGAGGAAGAGGAAGAAGACAGGAGCCTGGTGCAGTGGCTTACACCTGTAATCCCAGCACTTCCGGAGGCCAAGGTAGGCGGATCACTTGAGGCAAGGAGTTTGAGCTCAGCCTAGCCAACATGGTGAAACGCCATGTCTACTAAAAACACAAAAATTAGCCAGGCTTGGTGGCAGGCACCTGTAGTCCCAGCTACTCGGGAGGCTGAGGCAGGAGAATTGCTTAAACCCAGGAGGCAGAGGTTGCAGTGAGCCAAGATCCTACCACTGCATTCCAGCTTGGGCAACAGAGCAAGACTCTGTCTCAAAAGACAAACAAACCAACAAGCAAGCAAACAAAAAACAGAAAAAAAAAAATTGTGGTATACTCAGATAAGGGAATACCATTCAGCAATAAAAAGGAATTAACTGTTGTAACACACAACTGCATGGATGAATCTCAAAATAATTATGCTGAGTGAAAGCAACCAGACCAAAACACAGTGCATCCTGGCCCATCAAATTGTATGCATTAAATATGTGCAGTTTTTTTGTATGTCAATAATACCTCAATAACACTGTAAATAAAGTATATTCTGAATGATTTCATTTAAACAAATTATAGAAAAAGCAAATTGATCTATAATGACAGAAAACAAGTCAGTGGTTCCCTGGTGCAGTTGAGGGGAGTGATGTGAGGGTGACTTTTGGATTAGGGAATGAAGAAATGTTTAGGGATGATGAGTATGCTGATTATCTTGAATGTGGTGATGATTTCACAGGTGATGATTTCACATATGTCAAAACTTATCCAATTTTTCATTTTCAATGTGTGCAGTTTTTGTATGTCAATAAAGCTATGCTAAAGAAAAGCTATTTTTGCTTTTGTAACAGAAGTGGAACTGAAAATCTGTATCCATTCTTTGTCAGAATTCCTGTATCTTTCATCATATCCTTGTAATCTTCTCTCACTTTGAATAGTAATGAGAGGTGAGCTCATGGATTCACAGCAATACCCTCACACTTTAAAGTTAAGGTTCCCCTGTGTGCAGACACTATTAGCAGCCTAAGGAACAGGCATCTCCCTTCCCTTTCTGTCAGAGTCCACTTTCCCATGTTATAAGCTGATAATGCCTGGACTTGTAACCCAATCAAGGCCAGTGAGACCAGAAGACAAGTCAACTGTGGGCGTTCTCGGGAAGATTTTCCAACCTAGTTAAAGAGAAACATGTGAAATGTCCCTCCTTCCCACCTTTGAATGTTGTTATATGAAGACATAGCTGGGTGCAGTGACTCACGCCTGTAACTTGGCACTTTGGGAGGCCGGGGCGGGTGAATCACTTGAGGTCAGGAGTTCAAGACCACCCTGGCCAACATGATAAAACCCCATCTCTACTAAAAATACAAAAATTAGCTGGGTGTGGCAGGAGGCACCTATAATCCCAGCTACTCTGGAGGCTGAGGCAGGAGAATAGCTTGAACCCAGGAGGTCCATGAAGCAGGTTGAGGTCCATGTCACTACTTGACAGGAGAAACAACTTCCACTTGGAGGCCCAAGCAAAGATTTTTAAGCTCCTGTGAAGTACTTTGCAATCCTTTGTTAAAGGAGGTACAATCACAATTTGTTTTGCTAGGCTTACTAGGCTTAGATATTCATATTCTATGTGACTTGAGGCAAATTGAAATTGTGTACTGGATTTTGTATTCGTTTCTTAGATTTCCAGTTTCTAAAGGAGAGATTGGCCAGGCGCTGTGGCTCATGCCTGTAATCCCAGCACTTTGAGAAGCCAAGGCGAGAGGATTGCTTGAGGACAGGAGTTGGAGACCAACATAGTGAGACCCACATCTCTACAAAACATTTTAAAAATTAGGGCATGGTGGTGAGCACTTAGCTACTCAAGACTGAGGTGGGAGAATCTCTTGAGGATTCTAGAAGATGGAAGCTGCTATGAGCCATGACTGCACTACTACACTCCAGGCTGAGCAATAGAGGGAGACCCTGTCTCAAAAAAAAAAAACCAACCAACCAAAAAACAAAAAAAATGGCCGGGTGCGGTGGCTCACGCCTGTAATCCCAGCATTTTGGGAGGCCGAGGCAGGCAGATCACGAGGTCAGGAGATCGAGACCATCCTGGCTAACACGGTGAAACCCTGTCTCTACTAAAAATACAACAAAACTAGCCGGGCGTGGTGGAGGGCACCTGTAGTCCCAGCAACTCCGGAGGCTGAGGCAGGAGATGGCGTGAACCCGGGAGGCGGAGCTTGTAGTGAGCCGATATTGTGCCACTGCACTCCAGCCTGGGTGACAAAGCGAGACTCCATCTCAAAACAAAACAAAACAAAAGCCAAAAAAATTAAGGAGAGATGACCTATATTTAAATAATTCAATTGTTTAATCATATGCTTTCACGTGTATTCTTTCTGGCAACAAGATCATAAATCTTTCTCCTCCAGCATTAAACCCAGTGCTTTGCAGCCAGGATTCTATAATACAATGATTGAGAAAAACAGGAGTAATAAGACATGGAAATCAATAGCAAATTATAACATGTTCATAAACAAGGTAGGTAACTGCTTCACGAATGCTATATATATGTGTTTTTGTTTGTTTGTTTTGAGACGGAGTCTCACCCAGGCTAGAGTGCAGTGGCGCGATCCTGGCTCACTGCAACCTCTGCTGCCTGGGTTCAAGCGATTTCTCGTGCCTCAGCCTCCCAGGTAGCTGGGACTACAGGCACGCGTCACCACACTCGGCCAATTTTTTTGTAGAGATGGGGGTTTCGCCATGTTGGACAGGCTGGTCTCGAACTCGCGACCTCGGGTGATCCTCCCGCCTAGGCCTCCCAAAGGGCTGGGATTACAGGCTTGAGCCGCCGCGCCCGGGCTTTTGCTCGTTTGCATCCACTGCAAACTGCATTAATCATTGACAAGCTCTAGCAGAGGTACTCCTGAGCCTGGAAAGCCCCTGCGGGAAGTCACAAAGCCTCCACATAAACTTGCTGTGTGGCACACAGCGTCGCCGCACCGCGCAACTAGGGAAGAGGGCTAAGGTGCAGGTCTCATCTCCCCTCCGCCCCCTTCCCAGAGCCCCGGCACTCAGCCCCTCCTTTCACCCGGGGAGGGGCGGGGCCGCGTACCGGAAGAGGCGGGGCCATCGGAGTGCCTAAGAGCTGCCCCCCGATGTCGCTCTTCCTTTCCCGCGGGACCGGCGAGGGAGGAAGAAGCGCGAAGAACCGTCTGTCATGCTGGTGTGGTGGCGGCGGCGGAGCCTGCGGGCCCGTAGCTGTGCTCTGCGAGGTGAGAGTGATCGCGGTCTTAGGTCCTCCTCCTCTATGTGCCGGGTTCCTCCGCCATGTGGGTGCCGAGCGCGGCCCCTGTCCCTTTCCCTGGCGCAGCGGAGCGGGCGACTGCTGCGTAGGCCAAAAGGCTACGCTCCCGGCACCCCCAAGGCCCACGAGCTTTCCCCACAAGCCATCTGCGCAGTCGCGTTTTGTCAGTAACCACCTGGGTGGCTTAGCTGACCTTTATCCGTCAGCACCGGTTCACTGTCCTCTGCTCTGAAACTGGTGAAGGGCCTTCTGACTTAAGGAGGTGCCTGCAAGGGACCGCCGCGGGGCTTCGTGCTCCACCGGGCCTTGGCCAGATCTCTCTTGTGTCCCCATCTAAGTTGTGCGTGCGGCCTTGGCGGTTTCAGGCTCTTAGTAGGCAGCTTGTTTTCCTTAAAAGGGAGCATTTTATAAATAGGAAGATGATTATCCGTTAGTTGTCAGGATGACCCTTACTGGACCGTACTTTGTGAGTGGCTTTGAAATTGTAATAAGCGCAGTTTACTGAGTCATAACTAGTCTCGACCCATTCGTAGAACTAGTCGGTATTTGTTCCTGGACCTTCCTTCGTAATACGCTCTAAAGTCAAGGCATGGAGGTCGGAGAACAACACGTGCAAGTATGGAAGTCCCTTAGGCTAAATGCCTGCTACACACGGAGATGCTTGTATTTACATAGAGATGTGTATTTCTGGACATAATACAGAAGAAACCGGTCAGCAGCTGGGAGGCTGGAAAAACCTGTTAGCTATTCAGAAACTTTTTTTTTTTTTTTTTTTTTTTTGAAGAGTCTGTTCTGTCGCCCGGGCTGGAGTGCAGTGGCTGGATCTTGGCTCCCTGAATCCTCCACCTTCAGGGTTCAAGCAGTTTTCTGCCTCAGCCTCCCGAGTAGCTGGGATTACAGGTGCCTGCCACCACGCCCGGCTAATTTTTGTATTTCTAGTAGAGACGGGGTTTCACCATCTTGGCCAGGCTGGTCTTGAACTCCTGACCTCGTGATCCACCCGGCTAAGCCTCCCAAAGTGCTGGGATTACAGGCATGAACCACCGCGCCCGGCCATAGAAACAAATTTTAAAATTTCGTCAGTGAGACTTGGTATAGGTAGTTTTTTTTTCCTTCAAATTTGAAATGCATTGCTTCGTGCGAAATAATCGTTAATTGTCAAGAGGACGAATGTCATGGCTTATACTTGAAATATTTTTGGTATTCTTATTTTTGAGGCTTCAGTAGCTTGAATTCTGTTTTCACTGGTAAGTGCTGGGACTTCTAAAAATTTCCAAACGAAATAACTGATAAAATTGGTAGTCCAGGAAAGTTCTGAAGCATAATACAAAAGAATCCACCGATACATTTGAGAACTATGATATTACCAATACTAGAGTATCTGTTGTTTACATTCCCCTGCTTCCTATTCATAGGTACCCACCATTTGGAATTTTGTGCCCATCAGTCTTTTGGTTTTTGTGGGGGAGGGGGTGGTGTGGATAGCTTTGGGTTTTTTTGTTGCTTTTTTGAGATGGAGTCTCGCTCCCGTCCGTGCAGGCTGGAGTGCAGTGGCACGATTCTCCTTCCTCAGCCTCCCGAGTAGCTGGGATTACAGGCACCCACCCTCACGCCCGGTTTATTTTTGTATTTTTAGTGGAGACGGGGTTTTGCTGTCTAGAACTGACCACAGGTGATCCACCCGCCCCAGCCCCCACACAGTGCTAGGATTACAGGCGTGAGAAACCGTGTCTGGCCCATTTTTTAGGCTTTGTAAAGACAGGATTATGCATGTTGTCTGCAGTTCCTGTGAATCATAATATTAAAATGAAACATTTTTGTTTCAGTTAATTTTTTTAATTACTCAAAACCAGTAATTTATATTCCTAATATTGATTGTGTGAAATATTTTCAGTATTTCAGCACATGAAAATGATTGTTTTGCAAGGTCCAACCTTGTATGTCTTAATAAATCATTTCCTATTGCTGCCTGGCTCAATGATGTATTCTCCTGCGGTGCTGTATGACATGATTTTTTACCCCAGTCCATGTTCTTTGCAGTGTTTTGTTAACTTGGGACTTAATTTTACAGGCATGTGTCCAGTAAAAATGCCAACGTAGGTATCCCTGCTCCAAAACTGCTAGGTTTGCTGTTTTAATGTTTTTAGGTGAAGGTCTTCACGCCAGTTTTTATACATCTAACCTGGCTCATAGCTCATCCTCGTCGAGCTGTGAGACAGAAAAGCAATGGCTGTGTACTCACTATGACCATTGTGTCTTAAAGTCAAAACTGTCACAGTGAAGGATATCATAAAATGTTTCTGCCATTTTCCTGCCAGTGCTAATGGCTCCTGTTTCCAGTTTGGAATAAGCTAATTTGTGGAATTATTAGGTGGTAATCAGACAAACATACTCAGTTACAGAGGTTTGGGTTTGTCAGTATTGACTATCAAAAAAGCAGAAACAGGTACTAGAATAATAGGACTTTTTTATTAAAAAGTGGGTTAGGAGTCTGAAAGGTAGATTGCAAGTACAGTTCCTAAAGGAATGAGATTCTCTTCTTGAACCATTCCTACATATAAGATGCCAAACAAAATGCAAATAAAAATGGGAATTCGAAATGTAATATTTAATTTCCAGGTGCAAGAAAGCCTTTGCGGTGAAGGTGTATGAAGGTCATCATGACAAATGTTTTCCAAAAACTTGTAGAAGGCTGTGAAAAAACTACGAGGATCACACGTCATGTATTGAGGTACCTAAATTTAATTAATGTTAGTTTTGTGATGTATTCTTGACAGATAGGTTTAATAGCTGGCACAGTGATGACTTAAATTACTTTTTGCCGTTTACCCAGCTGAGGGTGTCTTTGAAGAAATAATTTTAAGACTGAGATGCCAGTAATGTACATTGATTAATTACTGACATGTATGTAAGGCAATAATTTAATTAAGGGTGAATATTCTTTCTTTTTAGCATATAGGTTGCTGTAGATGAATGTTCTTTGCTGTCATGTTTAAAAATACTTCTGCTTCATTGCCTCAAGTAAGTGATTTGTCAAGCAACTCTATCTGCTGATAGTTCAGAAAGTATCTGATAAACTTCAAAGGGTGGGGGCCAATTCTTGTTGAAGTTGCTTTTGCATGTGGGGTATTCTCAACATTTAAGTTTTTGAGGAACGACTTGTGAATATTGAGGTTATATGAGAACTTTGAGTATGGAATGATTTTCACTGTTGGTTTCTGACTTTGTTTTGGAGGTGTGGCATGCAACATTTTGGAAGGAAAATTGAAGACTTGTTCAAGAAAACACGAACAGAAGCAAATGATGAAAATGAGCATTTTACTTGATGTTGATAACATCACAATAAATTATGGAGAAAAATACATATTTGGCTAACTGTTTTAATTGCTGAACAATAAAGTGTTTTCTTTTAAATCAATTCTAAATAGCTCCATTCTCATAGTCACTAGTCAGACCTGTTTTGAACATATTCGAAAGATTATATAATCTTGTGAATAATTAGATTATTTATGGGTGGTGATTCTCATTGAGGCCAACAGCTGGGGAGACATGTACCTCTAGGTTCCCTGTCTGGCTCCCCCTTCAGAGTTTGCTGTTGTACCAGATGGTTGGAATCTTAAAGCTCTTTAATGCCAAATAGCAATCAAATTCCCCCTTACAGATAAAGGTTTCACCTTTTTTATTCAGTTTGCTTTCATCTTTGTGAACAAAAAAGTCATCCTAATACTAGTACATGTAATAACTAAGCAATATGCTATGTTAAGAGAAATGACTGGACAGGCCAATCTGTCTAGGACTAAATTGGCATGAATTCTAAAGCTGAATTTATATCTGGGTGAAGGCTTAGAGCTAAATCTTTTCTCCTGTTGAGTACTAGCTTATAAATTCCTTTCACCAAAGTTATAGTTTTTATATGATAAATGGTATAAAACCTGTATGGCAACATCTTAGTCACTTCCCTCAGTACAGACTTGGGGGGTACAAGTGCAGTTCTGTTGCATAGGTATATGAAGTAGTTTGGAGTCTGAGCTTTTTGTGCAGCCATTACCTGAATGGTGTACATTTCACCCAGTAATTTTTCATCCCACACCCTACCCCCTTCTAATTCTCCAATAACCTTTAAAATACCATTGGCATCATATTTAATATTAATGAATTACCTCCTATAATTGTTTCTGAATGTACACTTCTACTCTTTAGGCACTGAAATAAAAGACTAGTAAATGTAGCCTTTGTAATGAGAAACTTAAACATTTAAATTTTTTTGTGAAGTAACTATCTTTGAGACAGGTTGGGTTTTTTGAGCTGGAGAGATTAAGGTGGCAGTGAGTTATGATTGCATCAGTACGCTACAGTTTGGGTGACAGCTACATATAAATATATATAAATATAGGTAAGTAAATAAAAGCCATCTTTGTGCCATGCATGTGGCTCACTCCTGTAATCCCAACACTTTGGGAAGCTGAGGTACTGAGATGGGAGGATAACTTGAGACCAGCCTGAGAAACATGGCAAAATCCCATCTCTACAAAAAAACACAAAAGTTAGCCCAGGGTGGTAGCATGTCCCTGTAGTCCCAGCTACTCGGAGGGCTAAGGTGGGAGAATTGCTTGCAAGGTCAAGGCTGCAGGGAGCTGAGATGGCGCCACTGCCCTCCAAACTGGATGAGAGCCCCTGTCTCAAAAAAAAATTTTAAAAAAAACTGTTTTTAAACTTTCCAATTGTAAAAGGATCCTAGTTTTATAAAATAGGAATGTGTTTTGCCTTCACCCCATAGAGAGCCAGACATGTTTGAAATGTAGTATTTGAGAAGCACAAAATAAACGTCTTAACATTCTAGAACTGTAATATGTAAATATTTTGCTGAAGACTACCTTTGTCACCAGGTGCGTTGGCTCATACCTGTAATCCCAGCACTTTGGGAGGCCAAGGCAGGCAGATCACCTGAGGTCAGGAGTTCGAGACCAGCCTGGCCAGCATGGTGAAACCCTGTCTCTACTAAAAATACAAAAATTAGCCGGTCATGGTGGAGTGCACCTGTAATCCCAGCTACTTGGGAGACTGAGGCAGGAGAATCTCTCGAACCTCGGAGGTGGAGGTTGCAGTGAGCCAAGATCGTGCCACTGCACTCCAGCCTGGGTGACAGAGCAAGACCCCGTCTCAACAAAAATACTACCTTTGGCTTCTGAAAACTAATACTGTTTTCTCCCTGCTACTAGTAGGTATTCAATAATACTGAACAACTTCCTCTGGGTCCTGTGGAGAATGAGAGGTCCAGCTGTATAGTTAAGCATCTCTGTTAAGGGACCAATTTTGAAAGAATTGATGCATGGTAGCATCTTGGTTAATAAAGTGACAATTTGGTAATGACATTTTGCTTTTCTGTGAATAGAACTGATCTTTTATTAAAGTTATGGAAACTGAACTAAACAGGATTTATAAATTTTACAAGGTAGATTTGTTTTCTCATGATGCCCCTATCTTCACAGCAGATATCTTCCCTCCAAAAATGAGGACTAGATTTGCAAGTTGGTTTCTTTGCCTTTTGGAACCTTTCTTGTAACCAGTTAGGGTTAGAGAGCCACTTTATAAGTTATTGGCTCCTTGATTCTGTGTAAAGTATTTTTTCATTTAATCTGGCATATACATGAAAACTTCCAAGGCTTTTCCTGATTCCATATTTAGGGCTTCTAAAACAGTAGTATGTAATGGACATGCCAGTAATAAAGCATGAAAAGGCCTTACATTTGAAACTTGGGGTTATATAAAATATTTAGTCATGAGTTTAGCAAGTTCACTAGTGAAGAAAAATGTTTTAATTTGTAGGAAAAGAGTTATTGCCATCTTGTGACAGTAGAGTGAACTACATAAAGGTTGACATTTTACACACTGCTTAAATTGCAACATTCTTTATATTTTTATCTGTTCACCACTGGTATTCTGGGCTAACCAGTTTTTCTTTATAGTATTCTCCTTGACAACTTTATCACTATTAAATTGTCCACATTGTTCTAAGTTTTAAAATTCTGTTGGTTTTAGAGGTTTGGATTAGTATTTATCACATTAGCAATTAGTTTTGAGGGGACTATATTTTATATTTTTAAAAATAGTATTCTAATATATTCCTGTACAAAGTATTATCAAAGCATTAGTTCAAAGTCACTCTCAAAATACTCACACTTTTTCTCCACTGCTTAAGTAGGAATGAACAAAAATTCCTCAAATTGTTTATTCATCACTAGAGAAAATAGTTGTCCCAGGTCCATATGTGGCAATAAATTGTTCCAGCTGTTGTTGGCACTGAGTTAGATAGAGATCCCTTTGCTCTAAGTATTCTTCATTATACAGTTCAAATGGAAATACTGCATTTGGAGCAACACAAAATGCAGTGGCCCCTAAATGAAGAAGATAATAGAGTGTAAATGACAAATACTGCTTAAGATGACAAATATGAAATCACATTTTCAACCAAAATATTTTATTGGAATCTTAAAAATTAAGCCCAAGCCCATGTGGTTCTGTGAAAAATAAAAGTTAAAAAATTAAGTTTTGACCTATTCAGAAGAGTATTTCAATAACCATTATTGAAATCTGACTTTTGTTTTCTGAAACCCAGAAAGCAGGTTCAGTAAATGCACAAACATTGGTACCAGGGCCAATGGAAGAAGTATGTTGATGTTTATAAAGTTTAGAACTAGAAATTTGTCTTCTTTTTTTTTTTTTTTTTTTGAGACGGAGTCTCGCTCTGTAGCCCAGGCTGGAGTGCAGTGGCCAGATCTCAGCTCACTGCAAGCTCCGCCTCCCGGGTTCACGCCATTCTCCTGCCTCAGCCTCCCGAGTAGCTGGGACTACAGGCGCCTGCCACCTCGCCCGGCTATTTTTTTGTATTTTTTAGTAGAGACGGGGTTTCACCGGGTTAGCCAGGATGGTCTCGATCTCCTGACCTCGTGATCCACCCGTCTCGGCCTCCCAAAGTGCTGGGATTACAGGCTTGAGCCACCGCGCCCAGCCTAGAAATTTGTCTTCTACTGAAATAGTCATTATAGTTTTGAAGCTGACTACTGATGTGAGGACGTGACAGGAGTAGGGAGAAAAGGTACTGGAAAGCAGGGAAACACTAATCTATTTGATTAAGTGGATGATCAAAGATAAAGACATTGTAGTACATTTCTCAGTTGTTTAACCCATTTACATAAAGGCAGACACATAAATCTATGGAAGGGTTTCAAGACCATTCTACGGGAAAGGACAGACTCACTTTGGGTTTGGCAATGATTTCCTGAATGTGACATCAAAAGTACAGGCACCAAAAGAAAATATACATAAATGGGACCACATCAAAATTTAAAACTGCATAAAACAATACAACCAACAGTGAAAAGACAACCCATGGAATGGGAGAAAATACTTGCAAATCATATCTCTGATAAAGGGGTCTATAAATCCACAGTAAGAAAATAATCATTAAAAAATAGGCAGAGAACTAGTCATTTCTCTAAAGAAAAACGACCAATAAGCACACGAGAAAGATGTTCAATACCACTAATCATTAGGAAAATACAAATCAAAACTACGATGAGCTACCACCTCACACCCATAAGGATTTATTATAAAAATAAAAAACAGAAAATGACAGGTGTTGGAGAGGATGTGGAGAAATTAGAAGCTTTGTGCACTGTTGGGAATGGAAAATGGTGCACCCACTGTGGAAAACAGGATGGCGGCATCACAAAGAGTAAACAATTACTGTATGATACAGCAATTTCACTTCTGGGTATATACCCAAAAGAATTGAAAGCAGGGTCTTAAAGAGATATTAGCACACCCATGTTCATAGCAGTGTAATTCACAATAGCCAAAGGTGGAAGCAACAGAAATGTCCATTGACAGGTGAATGGATAAACAAAACATTGTATTTACATACAATAGGATATTATTCAGCCTTAAAAAGGAAGGAAATTCTAATACATGTACAATATGGATGAACCTTGAGAACATTATGCTAAGTGAAATAAGCCAGTCATGAAAGGACAAATGTATGATTCCACTTATATGAGGTACCTAGAATAGTCAAATTCATAGAGGCAGTAGAGTGATGGTTCCCAGGAGGAGTAGAGGAGGAAATGAGGAGTTATTGTTTAATGGGTACGCAGTTTCAGTTTGGGAAGATGAAAAAGCTCTGGAGACGAACAGTGGTGATGGTTGCACAACAGTGTGAATGTGAATGTACTTAACACACTGAACTGAACATTTTAAAATAGTTAAAATAAGTAGATTTTATGTATATTTTACTTCAATTTAAAAATTGACCATGAGGAGATAAGCTCTTCTCCTTTATTCATTAATTCATTGAACAAGTACTTAATGTGACAGGCCAAGAGTAGAGTCTAGCAACTGTGCCAGGCAGTGCCCACCTTCCTAGAGCCTCATAAGAACAGCCTCAGACTTCTGACTGCTTCCTTTCCTACCTGACCTTCTCTGAAAGCTTACTATCCCTTAAGAACACTGCTTTCCTTGTGCCTCTCCAAAATGAAGCTATTTTTTCCCAAACATCCCATATACACAGTGTCACAAGACACAGTCAGAACCTAGCTTGCTGCCCCTCTGCTGCCTCCAGACCATTCTTGCCCATGCTTCCCTTTTGGTAAAAATCCTTTCTTCTTTGATGTTCAGTGCCACCTGGTTTTACTGTCCTTCTCCTTCTATAGTCAACCAGCAGCTCTCAGCACTTTGCTCAAAATCTTTCTTTCTTCCCTAATACCTGACATTCAGTGATTTTCATGTGGATGACCCATTTAACTCCCTTGCAATGTCCCACCTTTCCCTTCCGCCTCAGCCATACATCCCACAGTCACAGGAAACTAATATCACCAGAAACTTACTTCAAAACCTTGAGTTCCCACTCACTTCAAAACCACAACCCACTCCCCTACTCTACCTCCTATGCTTCCAGTTCATTTGCTCAAATGTTTCAGGTCTACTTCAGAGACCTCCAATCTGCTTCCTCTAATTCACTTTCTTCGTTAACCAGCTTAAAAGTCCCTCCCTTTAAAAGTCCCCCCACTCCTTTGCCCCTCAGCACCACTCTGCCACACTCACTTATCAAAACCTCAACTCTGCACGAACCCAACCATTCACCTTGTGCTGGCACGAAGGCTGCTAGGCAGAAAATCACACAACTGGCATTTCTTCTTTTCTCTTTAAGTGAGTCACAGTAACTCTAAACGATCACCTGCCTGGCAAGCCTGCTGAGTTTCCCTGGGACACTTCTCTTGTAGCCCCAACAATGACTATTATATTCCATTCTTTGCTCCTCAAACCTTTCATTTTCAGCTGATAACATCAAGTAAAGTATATGGCCAAACTTACAAACCTACCTGGTTCTGTATCTGTTTTCTTCCCATCTGTAAAATGAATAAGTGACCCATTTATCAGAGGCCAATACATGTACCCTGGATCCTATCCCCTCTCACCCTTTTTGTAGTTCACTCATTGATCTTCCTGTCTTTCTGTAGTGTTATTAGTTTACTCTCTACTGCACATCCTACGATTTTATACCTTCTATCTTAAAAAAAAAGTTCCTTCCTGAACAACACATCCTTCTCCAGTGATTCCCTCATTTTTTCCCTCATCTTCATAGTTTGTCTATGTGTGCTGTCTCTGTAGCCTCATCTCCATTCCCATGCCACTGAAATAGCTCTGATCATGGCTACCTACAACCTTTAGGTTACCAAACTGAATCTCACTCAAACTCTTAGTAGCATGTGATTCAGTTGACCACTCTGCCGCTTTCTGGAAAAACTCTCATTTCTTAGAAAATCACACAACACTTGATTTTCTTTCTATGTTCTAGCTACTGCTCCTAAGCCTCCTTTGTTAGTTCCTCCTCCACAACCCCGTATAAATCTTCAAGGGCAGTCCTGGGGTTCCCACTAGTCTCTATTTAGGCGATTTCATCCATTCCTTGGCTCTGAGTACCATCTCTATGCTGGTGATTCCTAAATTATATTCCTAGGTTAGAACTTTTTCTAAGCTCCAGATTCTTTTATCTCTCTATTGATATATCTGTAGGATATCTCCTTTAAAAAAAAAAAAGCTATATATATATACTCTTTTCCTCCACTGCTTAAGTAGGAATGAACAAAAATTCATATATATAACTTTTTTTTTTTTTTTGAGATGGAGTCTTGCTTTGTCACCCAGGCTGGAGTGCAGTGGCATGATCTTGGCTCACTGCAACCTCTGCCTCCCAGGTTCAAGCAATTCTCCTGTCTCAGGCTCCCGAGTAGTTGGGATTACAGACGCATGCCACCACGCCCAGCTACTTGTCTTTTTAGTAGTGACAGGGTTTCACCATGTTGGCCAGGCTGGTCTCGAACTCCTGACCTCAAGTGATCCGCCCCCCTCGGCCTCCCAAAGTGCTGGCGTGAGCCACCGCTCCTGGCCATTTATTATTTTTTTTAAATTAGGGTCTTGTTATGTTGCCCAGGCTGGTTTCAAACTCTTGGGCTCAAGCAATCCTTTCGCTTTGGCCTCCCAAAGTGCTGGGATTACAGATATGAGCCACTGTGCTCAGACTATAGAATATCTCAAAGTTATATCTATAATTTGATTTTTCTCCCAGCTCTTTTTCTTTCTTTCTCCCCAGATTTGGTAATTGGCATGATTATCCACCCAGCTGCTCAAGGCAGAAACATGGGAGTTTTCCTTAATTACTCCCTCTCCTCCTTTCCCCTACCCCCAACTCTTAAATCTAGTTCATGAGCACGACCTATTGGTTTTTGCATCTAATGTGTATCTCTAATTCACTAATTTCTTTCCATTTCTACTGACTCTACCTAGTCGAATCTCTCATTATCAACTAACTGGACTACAACAACTAGTCTCCCACTTTCTGCTCTTAACCATTCTCCATACCATTCTCCATACCTCCAACCCATTCTCCATACCAACTCCAAACATGGTATTTCAAAAATATAATTGATCACATTAGTTCTCTGTTCCTCATTGCACTTGGATTACAATCCCAATTTTCTACCATGGTCTGTCTGGTCTTACTTTCCTCTCTAACCTCAACTACGATGCTTACTCTGCTTACTATGTTTTAGCCACCCTGGACCTCTTTCAGTATTTTGAAAACACCTGCATATGTGGTTCCCCTCTAACTTGACTTCTCATTCTTCACCTATTTGCTTAAATAAATATCACTTCCTTAGAGAGGTCTCCCTAAAATCCAAAGTAAGTCCCTTCCATTGTTCTTTCTCATAATATCCTGTTGATTTTCTTCATAGCATCTATCTCAATTTGTATTATATATTCATTAATGTCTTTACTTTTTTTTTTTTTTTTTTTTGAGACAGGGTCTCACCCTGTTGCCCAGGCTAAAGTGCAGTGG